GCGCCCAGGCCCAGAGTTCAGGCCCCACGACTGGACCCAAAAAAAAAAAAAGAAAAAAGCCGGAAGTGGTACTGTGGCTCAAGTGGTAGAGCGCTAGCCTTGAGCTGAAGAGCTGAGGGACAGCGCTCAGGCCCAGAGTTCAGACCCCACGACTGGACCCCAAAAAAAAATGAGGTGCTTGCCACCAACTCAGGTCCATTTGGGGGCAGCAACTCTGTCTTCCCCAAAGCTAAGGGATATAGAAGCTGTCAGCTGTGTGTCATGAGTTGCCAGGTGTCCACCAAGGTGGACAGACAGGCAGATGGGATATGGTGCTGAATACAGTCCAGGATTGCATTCTGGAGGATGGGGGGTTGTCGTACCCACTCTGGGCTTCAGTCCTCCATTTGTACAATGAAAAAGTTGGACTTAAATTTGTGAAGCAATCCTTCTAGAATGCTTCTAGCTCTGGTGATAAAGGTAGGAACCTGATGGAAGAAAACTAATCTTTTTTCACCCTGCACTGGGGCCCCCTGGGCATACAAAGCAGCTCAGCCTACCAGGGGAACCACAGCCCCAGCCCTCTGCTTTTATGTTTTCAGATAAGGTCTTACACTTGTGCCTGAGCCACTCAGACCACAATCCTCCTCCTAAGTAGCTGGAACCACAGGCATGTGTCACCACACTGAGTTTGTTTAGGCATTTTGAATTCTGGGCCTTGAGGTTGCTAGCCAAGTACTCCACCACACCCCACACCCCAGCTAGCCTCTTATAATCCTTCTCCAGTTTTTGCCTTCCAAGCAGCTGAGATTTCAGGAGTGTGCCACCACTCTGGACTTTTGTTTTAAGGAAAGCAATCCATCCCAAGGAAAGACATCTATCCCTTCAACCCAAGACAGCCAAGATGCCTTCCAAAATCCCAAACCAAGGAAGTCTGGACTAGGCAACTGTGTGGAGATGCCCAGCCTCCCCCTGGCCACCTTCCCCAAACCTCTGCTCTGTCATCACACCCATTTCCCCCTTCCTCCAATGCTGACAAGCATTTCCCCTCCCTAAGCTTTACACTCAGCTCCTGGAGGGCTGCTGGCTTTGTTTTGCTCTGGATGCTGGGGGTTAGAACTGCCTGGCACACAATAGGTGCTCAATAAACATGGGTGCATGAATGGATGCTCTTCCTCCACTTGGATGCCTCTCCCTCCCCCCTTCCCCACTCTGCCTATCAGCTGAGTAATCTTTCCCTCTCACTCCTGTCTTTATAGTGCCCTCCTCGCTGGGTGCTCCTGCCTTGCACCTCTAATCCTAGCTCCTCAGAAGGCTGAGATCTCAGGACTGCAGTTCAAAGCCAGCCTGGGCAAGAAAGTGTGAGACACTCTTTTTTGTTATTGTTGGTGGTGGTGGTCATGGGGCCTGAACACTGGGCCTGGGCGCTGTCCCTCAGCTCTTCAGCTCAAGGCTAACTAACACTATCACTTGAGCCACAGCGCCACTTCTGGCTTTTTCTGCCAATGTGGTGCTGAGGAATTGAACCCAGGGTCTCATGCTTGCAAGGCAAGCACTCTACCACTGAGCTACCTTCCCAGCCCAAGGGTGAGACTCTTATCCTCAATTGACCACCAAAAAAGTCCAGAAGTGGTGCCGTGGCTAAAAATGCTAGCCCTAAGATAAAGAGCTCAGGGACTGTGTCCAGGCCCTGAGTTCAAGCCCCATTACTGACAAGGAAAAAAAAGGAAAGTATCCTCCTCTTCCCCTCTCCCCAGTGATAAATACAGTCCGGGATCACATCTCTGTTTATTTAAGGTTTCCCTTGCCCAGCTTGCTGGTTTGGGGTTTCTCTTACTCATTGCTTGGATGTAATTAGATACATGTTAGGTTGGATGAATGAAAACATTTACCATTCTCCCCCTGGCGCCCCCTAACCTCCCAGCAGCACCAGTGGAAGACCAGGGGGCTGACTGACTCCAATGTTTCTCAGAAAGTCTGGAGATGTTGAACACCCCAGGCCACAGCTCCCCAACTCGCACTCGCTGTAGGCCATTTCCCCTTCCTCATGCTGGGGGTCCCTCAGCCCCCTCAGGAAACATGGTCATCTTCTACCCACTCAAAGGGAAGGGAGCCGAGCCTGCGGGAGACGCTTCAAGGACCTTCCTCAGGAAGACAGCAAAGAACGCAGCTGTTCCCTCCCTTCCACTCAGAATCACCCATCCACACCTAACCCCACCAGGCTGCCCGCGCCGGGCCCTGAGTGAATGCAGATGCCCCGGTGCGTCCCGGTGAGTAGCTCTCCGCTGTGCGCGCTCTCCAGCACTTAAAAGCTTCCTCCAAGGACAAAACTCTGCCAGGAAGCGAAACGGAGCCCCGGAGCCCCTCCTGCTATCCAGCCGGACACAGCGAGGTGCCCGCGCGCACGCCTGGGCACGCGTCGGCACCGGCGGAACGAGCGCACCGAGCTGCCCCGGCCTGGGCGCAGCCACCGCGCTGGATCCTCCCGCTGGGAGCTCAGCGACGCCGAAACTTCGGAGCCCAGAACTTTCCGCAGCACCGGGGCGGGGGGGGGGGCACCTGGGGCGCCCTCCACGGTGGCTCAGGCCTAGGAGCCCGAGTGCCCCGTTCGGCCCCCTGCCGTCCTGGGAGGGCCGGGGTGGGGCGGCCGCTCTCGCAGCCCGGTCCTCCCCCGGAGACGCGTCTGGCCGGCGCGGGCAAACTTTGCCCGGCGAGTCCTTGAGGTCTATATTTAGTGCGCGCCGCCCCTCCCCCTCGGGGCTGCAGGACGGGAGGGGGAGGGGAGGGGAGGGGAGGGGAGGGGAGGGGCGCCCCGCCCCCGCCGGGCGCGCGCGCGCGTGTGCGCGTCCTGGGGTTGGGGCTCGTGCGGGTTGCGCGCCTGCTGCCCGGGGCCCGGTTGTTGCCCTGCGCCCCTCGCCCTGCCGGGCGTCGCGGGCCGACATGGGCCAGGAAGACGAGCTACTGAAGATCGCCAAAAAGCTGGAGAAGATGGTAGCGAGGAAGAACACGGTGAGGCTGCGGGGTCCGGGCCGCAGCCCCCCCCCGCCCCTGTCCCGGGAGGCCCAGCGCAGGGGGCTCCCCCCAGGGCGGCGGCCCCCGGGGGACGCTTGCTGGGCACCTGGAGGGGGGCGTGTGCGTGGCCCCGGGCGCGCGGGCTCGCGCAGGCCCCGGAGGCGCCGAGTGTGACCCCTGCCTTCCGGGAGGGGGGTTCGAGCTTCGCTCCTGGGCCGCCTGGACGGGTCGTGGGGGGGGGGGTGCAGGGGAGAGACTTGAACTCGGGGAAGGACTTTGAGAGCCCCGGGACTCTCCCCGCGTGCGCCTAGCCCGAGGATGGCAGGGAACTAACAGGCAAATTCTGGGTGTCCCGAGGAGCAGAGGATTTGGGGCTGGGGAGGGGTGCTGGGCCCTGCAGGAGCCGGCGAAGGGGCGCGGGACTCCGCGGCTCGGGTGCCAGGAGCGGTTATGTTTTGCAACTTTCTCCTGGGCGGCGGGGTGGGGCCGGGCGGGGCGGAGGGGAACAGGTGCGGGGCAGGGAAAGTGGTCAGAGAGGGTCAGGGCTGCGGGTGAGGTGCGCCCTGGGGAGATGGGGGCCCGCGGGGGGCGACAGGGGCCGGGCGCCCTGCCTGGGGGTCCCTGGGCTGGCAGGCCCACCCGACGGAAAGTTAATGTTTGATCTTCCTGTGATCTTTGCCTCAGGCTGGTGTTCTGGCCAGAGCAAAGCTGGGCCATGGGTCCTGGAAGGCATGAGCTCTCTCTGAGAAAGAAGAGGACCTTGGTGGGGAATGTGTCCCCCACATTCTGCCCTGAGCCAGAGCAGATCCATAGCTAGATGCTGCTTCAGGACCTGCATTTCTGGTGCATTCTGCAGCCCTAAGAACTTGGCAAAGTTTGAGACGCTAAGGGAGTGAGCAAGACCAGAGGTGGGGGCGCTGGATAGTTTACTAGCAGTGCTGAATCCAGACAGTAATGAGATGGTCTCCGTTCAAATGTGAGAGCTGTTTATCAATCTGGAGGAGTGAGATTCCCTGCCTGGAGGTGGGGGGTGAGGTGGGGGTGTCTATGCTGGCAGTGGGAAGGGGTGAGGGATGAGGGCGGTGAGCCAGTCAGGTCTGCAAAGCTCTTAGCAGGACCTGGGCAGGTGCCTGGTGAAGCCTAGTGATGAAGCCCGGGAAGGTAGCAGGGAAGCCTGCAGTGTGCTAGGGCTTCTTCCTTGGGTTCTCAGCTTCCACCACTGTGTTCCAGGCTTTTCCAAAGTCTTGCAGTGAAGTGGACCCTGAAGTCAGGAGAGGGAGGGAGGCCTTTCTCGGCTTGGTGGGGGCAAAGCCCAGTCAGGTGTCCTGAGTTTAATTCTATTTCAGGTAGCTAGGTTTTCCCAGTCCCTTGCTGACTCCTGGGTTGGAGCAGGAGTGAAATTCTGGGCCTCCAAATGAAAGGGATTGGAAATGGAAAGCCCAGCAGGCCTGGGAAAGACCATGGGGGTTGGGGTAGGAGGAAGAGGGCAGCCCTGGCCTCTGCTCACTGCTTCCGGTCTTTGGATTTCCTTCCCTCTTCTGTGAAATGGGAAGAAGTGGCCGTGGCTCTTGGGGATGGGACGGATTGAAGTGCCCACAGCCATCTGCTGGAAAGCTGCAAGCCTGGCCGAAGGGCCCCGCAGCGCAGGGCCAGGGCACAGCCACGTCTGCGCTTGGACTCTGGCAGGCTTTAGGTGGGCACAGAACTCTGGGCTTCTGGCCCAGAAAGGTGGGGCCTGCTGGGGGAGTGAAAGTGGGTGCGCCCAGTAGTGGTTTGGCTGAGGAGTACACACTTCCTGTAACGAGTCAGAGCTCCACGTTGCAGCCCAGGCAGAGTGCTTATTGGTAATTCTGAAGTACCAGTGCCTTAGACTATGTCAGAAGCTGACGGTGTAAACCAGATAAACAGCTTGCAACAGTCAACCAAGCATTCAGTCACATCTATGCGTCCACATAATCAGCAGACATAGGTACACACGGCTGCCACACAAGCAACTTCTAACTGCACGTGAGTGAGACACAGCTACAGGCACAATAGACATAATCTGTGTAACACCACTGATCATCAGAGTTATGGAAAGGCACCAACACCCACACCCATGCATACGTAACACAGCTACACTAAGGTATTCACAACAGTAATATTGATACATTCATATATCACCCCATGAAGACAGACACTGTTGGGCCTCAGTCCACTTAGGCACAGCTCCACACATGGACCAGAGGTTCCCCCAGAGACACACAGCTAGAAATCCTGACACACAGCTTTTGAACCCAGCCACAAACCAGGCTCATGGTTGTTATTCTGAAGTACATATCATCTGGTTATAGAGACCACACACTTCAGTAGTGACCTGGAACTGGATTAAGACTGATGGTTGAGGGCTGGGAAGGTGGCTCAGTGGTAGAGTGCTTGCCTTGCATGCAAGAGGCCCTGGGTTTGATTCCTCAGCACCACATAAGCAAAAAGAAAAAAGCCGGAAGTGGTGCTGTGGCTCAAGTGGTAGAGCGCTAGCCTGGAGCTGAAGAGCTGAGGGACAGCGTCCAAGCCCAGAGTTCAGGCCCCACAACCGGACCCCCCCAAAAACAAAAAACAAAAACAAAGACTGATGGTTGAAGTTTCTGGAATTTTGTAAGCTGTCTGTCAAAGCCATTATGATAAGTATGCAATGAGAAATGGCTCCTTCAGTTTGGTGACAGCGTGTTGGTAGCTTGTAGATGGCTATGGGAAGAGAATTTACACCAGAAAAACTGGCGAACACTTGCTGGGTATCAGTGAAGCTTGAACGCAATCCCAGGGCACTATCCCTTAGCTTTTTTTTTTTTTTTCTTTGATTGTGGGGCTTGAATTCAGGGCCTGGGTGCTGTCCCTGAGTTCTTTCACTCAAGGCTAGTGCTCTACCACTTGGAGCCACAGCTCCACTTCTGGTTTTCTGGTTGTTAACTGGAGATAAGAGGTCACAGACTTTCCTGCCCAGGCTAACTTGGGACTGAGATCCTCAGATCTCAGCCTCCTGAGTCGCTAGAATGATAGGAATGAGCTTCCAGCACCAGCTTTTTTCACTCAAGGCTGACACTCTCATTACTTGAACCACACTTCCACTATTATCTTTTTGGTGGTTAATTGGAAATCAGAGTCACGTGGATTTTCTACCTGGGCTGGCTTTGAATCGTGATCCTCCTGAGTAGCTAGAATTACAGGCATGAACCACTGGCACCCGCCATAGTGAACCTTTAGTTAATGCTATATTTGTTGCATAACCACAATATCAAAGGAATACATGTATGCAGACCACACCTCTGAAAACACTGCCATAGGCTTTGGAGGGGGGAGGCAACGTGGTGGCTAAGGACTAGCAGGGGACAGCACACAGATGTTCCAGGTCCTAACTGGGTGGGGTTTGGAGCCAGGCACATAATAGACAGGACATAATCAGCTGAGGCTCCCCAGGAAACCAATTCCAGGACAGGAGACAGAAGCTGGCAGAGACAAGACCCAGGTGTGTTCCAAGGCCTCACAACTAGATTTGCAAACCTGCCCGCCTTCTGCTTCCTGCCTCATTCATTCATGAATTCACTCAGGGATCACCAGGCCCCATGCAAGGCCCTATGGCCTCAGAGATGCAAACATTTCATTTATCTTTACCTAGGAGAAATCAAAAGAGTATTTGTATGTATAGAATTCAAGGTGAGGATTGGGTCCTCAGTACTCAGCTCAGGCAGGGGGATTATGAGTTTAAAGCCTATCTCAACAAAACAAATTATTATTATTTATTATTATTATTATTTTATCATGAGGCTTGAACCCTGGGCCTGGGCGCTGTCCCTCAGCTCTTCAGCTCAAGGTGAGTGCTCTACTGCTTGGGCCACAGTGTCACTTCGAATTTTCTAGTGGTTTTATTGGAGATAAGAGTCTCACGGACTTTCCTGTCTAGGCTGCTTTGAACCGAGATCCTCAGATCTCAGCCTCCTGAGTAGCTAGGATTACAGGTGTGAGCCACCGGTGCCCGAGTATTCTTTTTTTTTAATTTCTTTAATGAGTTTAAGTGATTACATAAATTTCACAGTAGTGTGGGATAGTGATAGTTAAAGTTACACATTTTAAACCTTCACAAGGTGAATTGTTAGTATCATAGTCTATAAAGCTTATGAACTCTGTGAACGTTGACAATAGCAACTATTTCTTCCAGATTGGATGATATGTACATTTTTTCCCTTTTGCTTAGTGTCAGCTGTAAAATGAATTCTTAAATACCAGATCACCTATAGTGACAGAGGAGTAGTGGTTGCCTGGGGTTGGGAGTGTCCAGAGAGATGGAAACTTATCGGGATGGTGACTGTAATCTTATCTTGATTATGGTGATGGTTTTGTGGATTTACCCATATATCAAAACCTTAATATTTTTTTCCAGTCCTAGGGCTTGAACTCAGGGCCTGGGCACTGTCCCTGAGCTGCTTTTTTGCTCAAGGCTAGCACTTTACCACTTGAGTCATAGCACCATTTCCAGCTTTTTCTGTTTATGTGGTACTGAGGAATGGAACTCAGGATTTTATGCATGCTAGGCAAGCACTCTACCACTAAGCCACATTCCCAGCCCTCAACACTCACTAATCTGTTCACTGCAATGTATTCAGTTGTTGGGGTTTTTTTTTTGTATGACATACCTCAATAAAGCTGTTACATAAGCCCACAAGAGCTGTGTGCTGTTGTGTATACCTATAGTTCTGGCTGTTAGGGAGGCAAAGATAGGAGAATCATTTGAGCCTAGGAGTTGGAGGCTAGGGCAACATATGAAACCCCCCATCTTAAACCCTCAGTCGTCACCTTTGCAAGCTCATATTCGGAGAGGGAGAAAGAGAGGGTGTGTGTGTGTGTGTGTGTGTCTGTAGAAGTATACAGATCCACAAGCAACAGCAGTAAGCCAGAAAGCAGTTCAGTTTAGAGGCAGATGTTGGGGTTGGAGGTGTGGCTCAGTTGGCAGAGTGCTGGCCAATGAGTCAGCTTCACTCATCAGGTACCACGTTTGAGTCCCAGTCTTGGATCTAAAAAAAAGAAAGAAAAAGGCAGCTAGTGGGGGACAGGCAGGGCCATGCCCGCATAGAAGGCACAGCAGAAGCAAAGGTTGGAGGTGAGGGTGGGGAGTCGGGGCTGCCGCCAGGCTCAGCTGGCTGGTGAGAGTTGAGCTAAGCCAGCATGTCTGGAACAGAACCTTTCACTTCTCAATTCTTTCTGCCCATGATTTTCCTTTGCCCGTGTGTCTGTCTCTATTGCCCACCCCCTCCCAAGTTGAGACAGTAGTCAGAGGGGCCTGGCCACAACCTGGGCCCCAATGCTCACTTGTGGCCTCCCACAGGAAGCTGCCCTGGACCTTCTGAAGAAGCTGAACAGCTGTCAGATGTCCATCCAGCTGTTGCAGGTGTGGGGCCCCTGAAGGAAGTGACTGTGGGAGGGAAGGAGGTGGGGGGACTCACAAGCATGGGGTGTAGGGGGGATTCCGGGGAGTCCTGTGAGAGGCACCTTGAGGTGCAGACCTGGGAGTGCCACAGGAGCCATGGAGGCATCTCCATCCGCAGCCACCCACTTCCCAAAGGCTCAGGCCTGCCGGACCCCAGAGACCAAGGACCTAGCATGGGAATCCTCCCTGCAGCCACAAACTTTACAGACGCTCCTGAGTCACAAATTGTATCCTCCAAGGCGTGCAGTTGGTTGTACATCAGTGATATCCTAAAGAAAGCGGGGGGGGGCCGGGGGGGCATCTACGTTGAGACTTGAGCTCAAAAGCACTAGGAACTGGGAATGGAAGTGTTCCTAACTGGTCCTAATCACCCTCTTGTTCCCCAACCCCAGCCTCCCGCCAAAACCACAGTTGCTGACCTGCATCCATCTGAGCCTGGGGTGCCCAGCTTCACGCAGGTGGCAGATCAGGGCCTGGTTATAGACAGGAGTCATCCCCGTGGCGGAGGTTCAGCTGAGGGGCTCCGGAGGGGTCTAGGTTGGGGGAAGGTCATGGTTGAGCTGGGACAGGTCCTATGTGGCTGTTCCTAAACCTGCCCTTTCCTCTGTCCACAGACCACCAGAATCGGAGTGGCCGTTAATGGGGTTCGCAAGCACTGCTCAGATAAGGAGGTGGTGTCCTTGGCCAGAGTCCTCATCAAAAACTGGAAGCGGCTTCTGGGTGAGGGAGAGAAAGGCTGATGGGAGCCAGGCTTTTCTCCTAGCACGTGGGGTGGAGGGCGGAGGCAGGGCCTGGTTCCTAGCAGGTGCACTGTGCGTTTGCAGGATGGCATAGTTGAAGGCACATGGCCTTGGGGTCACGCGTTAGTAGGAAGCTCCAGTGTTGTGGACACAAGTGGGAATTTCGGATCCCTGTGAGCTTCTGTGCACTGGTGTGTGCGCATGCATTTATGTTAAGTCTATGAAGTATACATGTGTGTATAAGTGTGTATAAATGCATTCTCATAACTTCTGGTGTGCTTATCTCCCTATGTGGGAATGTGTCTGTGTGTGTGAGTATGCTCTTTGTGTGTGTGTGTGTCTGTGTGTCTGTCCGTCCGTCCATCCGTCCGTCCGTCCGTCCCAGGCCCTGCCCTTTGTGCCCCCTCCCCAAAGTCATACAAGCGTCTGCTGTGAAGGACAGGGGAGGGATGATGGTGCCTTTTATTCTCAGACTCTCCTGGAACTCCCAAGGGAGAAAAAGGAGAAGAAAGAGAAAAAGCAAAGAAGAAAGAGAAGGGGTTTGAATGCTCCGATTGGAAGCCAGAAACAGGCCTTTCTCCACCAAAGAAGAAACAAAGGGAAGAGCCCCAAGGCAGGTATGTTTCCTGGGTAGAGAAAAGGGGAGACGCCCAAACACCTCTTCCACCAGTAGCTCTGTTCCTTGGAGCCTCAGTGGGTAGCACTGTCTTTGCAGAGTTCCTTCTGAGCGGGGCTGGGAAGGTGGCTAAGTGGTAGAGTGCTTGCCTTGCATGCCTGAGGCCCTGGGTTCGATTCCTCAACACCACATAAGCAAAAAAGAAAAAAGCCAGAAGTGGCGCTGTGACTCAAGTGGTAGAGCTTGAAGAGCTCTTGAGCTGAAGAGCTGAAGGACAGCACCCAGGCCAAGAGTTTAGGCCCCACGACCGGACCCAAAAAAAAAAAAAAAAGAGTTCCTTCTGAGCATCCTTGGCTCCACCAGACAGACTGACAAGACACATGGGCAGAGCTTTTCCCTTGTCACAGTGCCCTAAACAGTCCAGTATAAAGAAGCCACATATAGCGGGCACCAGAGACTCACACCCAGGAGTTTAATTTCTGAGGATTGAAATTTAAAGCTAACCTGCAAAAAAAATATTAATAATAATGCCCATGAGATGCTTATTCTCAATTAACCACCAAAAGGCTGGAAGTGGTGCCATGGCTCAAGTGGTAGAGCCAATAGACTTGAACACAAAGAGGCTTAGGGACAGTGCCCAAATCCTGAGTCCAAACCCCAGGACTGACCCAAAAAAGCCACACGTGTCACTAGCATGTGTGCCAACAGGGTGCCCCCACCCCAGGCACTGTTCATCCTTGGGAGACCCACAGTGGACCACAGAGTCCTTGACGGCTGTTCATTGGTCCATCAAGGCCAGGGACATGACCACAAAGGGAAGGGAACCCCTGTTTTAGAAGCTCTAGTCCCACAAATTTTTTTTGTTGTTGTTTTTTTTGTCGGTCGTGGGGCTTGAACTCTGGGCCTGGGCGCTGTCCCTCAGCTCTTCAGCTCAAGGTGAGTGCTCTACCACTTGAGCTACAGTGCCACTTCCAGTTTTCTGGTGGTTTATTGGAGATAGGAGTCTCATGGTCTTTCCTGCCCGGGCTGGCTTTGAACTGAGATCCTCAGATCTCAGCCTCCTGAGTAGCTAGGATTACAGGCGTGAGCCACCAGCGCCCGGCTTTCCACAAGTTTTGACAGCCCCGTAGGACAGTCCTCACTGATGAATGCAGTCCACATGAGAAACCATGTTGCCTGGTAACTGCCCCGCTCCATCTTGGCCAGGTCTGCAGGGACGGAGGGGCAGGAACTTACTTGTCCATTGAGAAGGAAGAGTGTTTGGTGAAGTTTTTATGCGGCATTCCCACCCACCTTGAGGAAGCTGAAGGGCAGGGCAACATTCCCCGTTCCCATGGCTACTGTGTGATGGAATGGGGCTCACATCACTGCCAGGCCTCTGCCCCTGTGCAGACAGCAGCGGAACACTTTTGATTCAGTGCCACACCCCGCCCATTCCCCCTTGCCAGCCCTGGCCAGGGTGTTCTCAACATTGAGTGACTTGGGTAGGATTTGAATGTGATGCCCATCAGATTAGATTGAAGCCTTCATGGATGTATTAGTAAGCCTTCTGGAGACTGAGGCAGGGGATCATTTGAGACCAGGAATCCGAGGCTGTCTTGGGCACATAGTAAGGCCCTGCCTCAAAAATTAAAAAGCTAAGCGGGCATGGGTGGCTCAAGCCTGTAATCCTAGCTACTCAGGAGGCTGAGATCTGAGGATCATGATTCAAAGCCAGCCCAGACAAGAAAGTCCATGAGACTCTATTTTTTGTTGTTGTTGGTGGTTGTGGGGCTTGAATTTTGGTTTGGGGCGCTGTCCCTCAGCTCTTCAGCTCAAGGCGAGCGCTCTACCACTTGAGCCACAGCGCCACTTCTGGTTTTCTGGTGGTTAATTGGAGGTAAGAGTCTCATGGGCTTTCCTGCCCAGGCTGGCTTTGAACTGTGATCCTCAGATCTCAGCCTCCTGAGTAGCTAGGATTACAGGAGTGAGCCACTGATGCCTGGCTGACATCTAAATTTGTCCCTGCTTTTACACTCACCATATAAACTCCAAAGCCCATGTGTCTCCTTTCCTTCTCTTGAGGGGCCTCCGAGGGGAGGCTGGAGCCCATCTGTCAGCTTCTCCAGCTCCAGCTGGGTATAGACAATCCCTGAAATCCACTCTCCAAGGCCCACCTGACAGTCAGGAGCAGAGAGGGGCCTGCTGAGAATGATTTGTAATAGATTAGTCATTACGTACTTCCACATGTAATGTGTCTGCAGCTCTGAGCCTCCTCTGGTGTTGCTTCCTTGCATGTGGAGTGAGCCAGGAGGGCCATCCACCCCACCTGGACTTCAGTCTCTCAGGCAGCTCAGCAAGTGCCTCTTGCCTCATTCCTCACCTAGAGGGCAGGCCTTTACTCAGGGCGCTTGGTTGCGGGTGGGGGGTAGGGGTGGAGGTGTCAGTCCTGCTGCTGGTTTACAAGACAGCCTCATTTCCAGCTTCTCCTCTTTCAGGAGAGACTCTGTGGAATCCAAGTCTTCAGCCACCTCTTCTCCCAAGAGGCCGTCTGTGGAAAGGTAAAGGAAGCCAGGACTTCCCATCAGGGAGGTCCTATGAGTAGGCATGTGTCTGCTTAATGGAGGAAGGTGGGGAGAGAGCAGGGGAAAGGAGGAAACCTGTGCAGGTGTTGCCTCCGAATGCTAGGACCCACAGCTGTGGCTTCCCCACTGGGGGCGGGTGGCTGGGTAATAGTCTCAAGGTCAAGTTGAACTCAATAAGGGCAGCAGTCTAGAAATCCTGTACTTGGAGAGGCTTCTTTGGCTTGGGTAAAACTGGCTAGGATGTCCACGCAAAGCTCTCGTAACTCAACAAGTCACACATATAGCAGATATTTTTTGAGAACCTACTAGGTGTTGGGACCTGTTTTTGGTGCTAGGATCCAAAAATACAATAGAAACAGACACTGGTGTTTCACACCTGTAATCCTAGCTACTCAGGAGGCTGAGGTCAGAGGAGCTCAGTTCAAAGCCAGCCTGGGCAGTTAAATCCATGAAACTTCATCTTCAAATAAACAGCAAAAAGCTGGGTTGGCTGAGCTGGGTGCCAGTGGTTCACGCCTGTAATCTTAGCTACTCAAAAGAGTGAGATCTAAGGATCATGGTTCAAAATCAGCCCAGGCAGGAAAATCCATGATGCTGATCTCGAATTAACCACCAGAAAACTGGAAGTGGTGCTGTGACTCAAGTGGTAGAGCACTAGCCTTGAGCACAAAAGCTTAGGGGGACAGCTCCCAAACCTCAAGTTTAAGCCCTAGGATTGGCAAAATAAAAAAGCTAGATTGGGGATGTGGTTCAAGTAGTAGAGTGCCAGCTAAACAACTGTGAGGCCCTGATTTCAAACCCCAGTTCTGACAAGACAATAAAGAGGGGCTGGGAAGGTGGCTCAGTGGTAGAGTGCTTGCCATGCATGCATGAGGCCCTGGGTTCGATTCCTCAGCACCACATAAGCAAAAAAAACAAAAAACAAAACCAGAAATGGTGCTGTGGCTCAAGTGGTAGAGCGCTGGCCTTGAGCCGAAGAGCTGAGGGACAGCACCCAGGCCCCACCTCCACTCCCCCCCCCCCGCAAAAAAAAAAAAAGAGTTCAAGTTTGGACATGTGGATGTGAAGTATGTGGTAAGTCATTCAGTTGGAAAAACTGAAACTTGCAGACGGTGGGGAGAGAGTGGATGGAGGAGTGAGTGTGAATTAAGTTCCAGGGGGCAGTCAGGAGTAAGGGCAGAGAAAAGCTTAAAGATGGATGAGGGCAAAAGGCAGGGGTCAAAGGGCCATATTGAATTTCTGGGGTGACCTACCGGGACACAAAGGTCCCGGCTTTTAGGAGAGAATGTGTAAGAAATGCAGTTAACTTAAGCCTGAAGTACCAGGAGGATTGCCTTGAACTGAACAGGAAGGTGTGGCATTAGACGGTTCAAGGCCTTAGGAGAGTAGTCGGGGACCTTGATATAGCTGCACCATGGCAGGGGGTGCGGGCTGGGAGTGAGGCTGGCCGGCGTGTTCCTTGGAGAGGGCTTCCTGCCTAGGAAGGAGAGACGCACAGTCAGTCAGCAGTGTCTGCAGAGGGTACGGCCGGGGCTGGAGCCTTGCCTGGGCTCTTTCTAGCCCATGAGCTCTCTTTGGGGCTCATTGAGAAATAGTGGAGACATTTTTGGTTGTCACTATGAGTTGAGCAGGGCTGAGAGGCACAGGCTGGGAGTCACTACTGGTGTGTGGTAGGCAGAGAGAGATGCTGTCCTGGAATGTGACAGAAATCCCTATGAAATGACATTGTCCTGCCCACCATGAAGCACTGATCACCAATCCTGTTGTGGGTTGCCATAAACGCTTACCATTGGCACAAAGACTGGATCTCCAAAGCCAGATGCTGGTAGCTCACCCCTGTAATCCTGACTAATGAGAAGGCTGAGATCTCAGGATCATGGTTCAAAACCAGCCTGGGCAGGAAAGTTTGTGAGACTCTTATCTCCAATAGACTAAATTTTTTTAAAAAATTTAAAAAGCTGGGGCTGGGAAGGTGGCTCAGTAGTAGAGCGCTTGCCTTGCATGCCTGAGACCCTGGGTTTGATTCCTCAGCACCACATAATCAAAAAAAAAAACAAAAGCTAGAAGTGGCATTGTGGTAGAGTGCTAGCCTTGAGCTGAAGAGCTGAGGGACAGCGCCCAGGCCCAGAGTTCAGGCCTGGACCCAAAAACAAACAAACAAAAAAAATGTTTAAGCTGGGCTGGGATGTAGCTCAGTGGCAAAGCGCTTGCCTAGCAAGTGCATCGTCCTGGGTTCAATCCCCAGTACCAAAAAAAGAAAAGACAAAAAACAAAAAAAAATTTTTTTTAAAGCTGAAAGTGGCTCAAGTGGAAGAGTGCTAGCCTTGAACAAAAGAAGCTCAGAGACAACACCTAAACCTTGGATTCAAGTCCCAGGATTGGTGCGTGCCACACGTATACAACAGACACACACACAGACACAGACACACAGACACACACACACACCCTTTCCAGACTCCTTGAACACACCCCTCTCCCCCTCTCCTCCTCTCTCCTTTGCCCCTCTCCCCTTCTTCCTCTCTCCCTCTCCTCCTCTCCTTCTCCCCCTCCCCCTCTCCTGCTCCCTCCCTCCCTCTCCAGACTCCTTGAAGCCACCTGGCTTTATGTCCCTGAAGATCAACCCAGCAGAGATACTTTCCTGTAATGGTTGTGCCGTTTCCTAATAATGCTTTAGAACTAGAGATGGACAGCCAAAAGGGACATGAGCTGGTCTTGTAAGAGCACTATAATCTCTCAAAACTGTTTCCTGCACTGTTGCCTCTCTTCTTTATTCATTCAGCAAGTCTATTGCATATGTCCTTGAGAGCTCAACGTCCTCCAAGGGTCAAGGACATATGCACACTAGATGATTAGTAGAGACCATGGTAAACTAGAAGATGTGCTTTTTGGAAAGAGACAGCCACTGCTCAGCCCCAGCTGATTGTTAACTTGGGGAAATGCAGGCTTGGGGCCTATATCTTCCAGGGTATGTATGTATGTATGTATGTATGTATGTATGTATGTATGTATGTGTTTGAGTTGGTCTTTCCATGTTGCCAATACTGACCTTGAACTTCTGCATTCAACCAATGTTCCTTAGCCTCCCAAGTAGTTGGGATTATAATACAAATCACCAATCTCCCTTTTTTCCAGGCTGGCTTCAAACCTCGAGCCTCCTGATTTTTACCTCTTGAGTAGCTGTAATTACAGGTGTGAAATTCCCAATTTTAAATATTGACAACATATTTGAATTTCCTAAGACAAAAAGGAATCAAATACACTGGCAGCCACAGCTTTATAGCCTCCAAAGCCCAGACAAAGGTTGAAGCAGCCAGTAATCTCATGGGCCAAACCTTATGCATAGGCACCCACGCAAACGCTTGCTTTCAGAGGGGGGTGGATATCACTCACAGTGGGAAAACCAGAAGAATCCCTTTAAATGACTTGTGCGCTCAAGGGAAACCAGCAAAGACAGAAGTGTTTGTGCTGTGAATGGAAAGAAAACCAGAAGTTTGCCTGGTAGACAGTCTTGGGGAGGGTGACTGGAGAACAAAGGCGTGGTGTTAGCAGGGTGCTCTGGGAACTGTAATTGACGCACCGGGAACCTATGGTGACAGGAAAGGTAGTTGCAAATCAGAATTGACAGGCTTTGGCAGAGCGGTTAGAGTACCCTTGGTAGTGCAATGATTTAAATTTCCTCAAGGTGGCGCCATGGAGCAGCAAGTAAAGCGTGGGACAGAGTTTTCTAGGAGCTGGTACTGGCACTGGTGCTGACAACCTGGGGGTGCACAAGGGAGCTGTTGATCAAAGCAGCCCCTGCCCCAGCCCATGATTCCTCTGCGACTGGGCACGGTTCCCACTCATTGTGCAATATACAATGAGTGTGGCTGCCTGAAGTGGCAGCCAGTCAGCTCTTGGCCAAGCCTAAAGGAGGGGAGACTGGATGTGTTTTGCCAGGGAGATGGGGAGGCAAGGGGAACGCTCCAAGCAGCCTCATCTTGCTTGGGTAAGATTCTAGAAAATTCTGTTTTAGAGATGTGTTGAGCCGGGCGCTGGTGGCTCACGCCAGTAATCCTAGCTACTCAGGAGGCTGAGGTCTGAGGATCACAGTTTAAAGCTAGCCGGGGCAGGAAAGTCTGTGAGACTCTTAGTTCCAACTAATCACCAGAAAACAGGAAGTGGTGCTGTGGCTCAAAGTGGTAGAGTGCTAGCCTTGAGCAGAAGAGCTCAGGGGCAGTACCCAGGCCTCCAGTTCATACCCCATGATGGACCCCCCCCAAAAAAAGTGTTGAACAGAATTGGAAAGGCAGGCAAACTTTTGATCTAGCTGCCATTTGGTAGTTGGATGAATACCTTAGGCTCAGCCTATTGGTCTATGAAATGGGAATAATTCTGACCCTCACTTCTCAAGGTCACTGTGAGGTTCAAGTGAGGTAATGAACCTCCTCACACTGTTTTTAGCCCATACAAGTGCTCAGTCGATGCCTAATATAGAGGAAAATACCTTATGCAGTAATGTCATTGTATAAATTGCCTAATACTTTTTTTTTTTTACTGGGATTCTCCTAGGTTATTCAGTTATGTTAACAGCCCTGTAATGGTGCTGTTGATGTGAGAAAAGCAAGACACCTGGAGGTTAAGGAACTTCTCCAAAGTTATGTAGCTACAAAGTGAGTGTATCTTGTCTTGAGCCTACAAAATTGGATTCTGGAGCCCAGATTCTTAGTAAATACATCGCCTCAGTGTCCACATTCCAAACATGTTGGCTGTCATTGTGGTTGTCTTACCTCCTTCCAAACTCTAGGTTATAGATCCTTGGGTTTTTTCCATGGTCCCTTTGTGTTTGTGATGTGGGCTGGGGCCACAAGGCAGTGAGCTTCCTACTGGCTCAGGAGAGGGGAGATGGAGCCCTCCCTCTCTTTCTTTCTCTCTTATTTGGTGGTCTTAGGGATTCAACTGAAGATCTTGTGCTTGTTAGGCAAATGCTTTATACTGGCATTCTTTTTGCTTTTACTCTGTGTGTGTGTGAGTGCGCATGCGTGTGCATGCCCACGTGCACCATCCCTTAGCTTTGTTACTCAAAGCTTCTGCTCTACCAGTTGACTCACTGTTCTACTTCCACTTCTGACTTTTTGCTAGTTAATTGGAAATAAGAGTTTCACAGGCTTTCCTGCCTGGGCTGACTTTGAACCATGGTCCTCAGATCTTAGCCTTCTGAGTAGGATTATAGGCATGAGCCACTGGTGCTCCACTGTTGCTTTTAGCTTTTTCTTTTCTTTTTCTTTTTTTTTCTAGACAGGGTCTCCCACTTTTGCCCCAGCTGGCCTCAGATTTCAATCCTCCAACCTCTACCTTCTGAGTATCTGGAATTGCAGGTGTGTGTCACCATTCTTGGCCCACCTCAAGCCCTCTTTCAAGCCCAGGGAATGGGCCACTGAACTTCCAAAGAGGACTAACTCCCACCCCTAAGTTAGCTTCCCCTGCCCCTGTCCTCTCTGGAAGTCCATGTTATCTCTTTATGAGTAACTCCTTCAATCTACCACATCTCCCTTCATTCCTTGGTTCATTCAACAGAGCAGGGAGTGGCATCTAGCTACTGTCGCAGGTGCAGGAATATAGTGGAGAAGGAGCCACAGAGGCCCCAGGCTCTGGAACCTGTACTCTGGAGGTGAAGGCAGACAGTGTTTATGTAAACAAGTTAATTATAGCCTTGGATAACTGCTTTGGAGGAAAGAGATCAGGGTAGGGACGGGCAGCCTTGGCTGAGGTGCACAGGGAGGACCTCCCTAAGGATGAGACATTTGAGCTGAGCTCTGACTGGCAGGAAGGCTGCAGTGAGAGGAGGCGGGACCTGCCAGTGCAGAGTTGGAGGGTGGAAGGGGGGGGAGCAGTGGGTGGATCCAAAGACGATGCTAAAGAAGCATGTCTATAGGGGGCGCCAGGGAGCCAGGCATGAGATGACGTGAGAAAGAAAGGACTGGCCCAGGCTGGCAGCCCACAGGCGGTAGTTGTACTCTGTGCTGATCACCACTGTGCTCCACGACGGGTCAGTGCAGCTGTAGATTTTTCCAAGGTCTTTCTGGCTGCTGTGGGAGGAATAGATTGTATAGGAGACAAGTGGACCAGAAAAGCCAGCCTTAGCTGATCCTGCTACCAACAGGGGCCAGGATGGGGGTGGAGAGCCACTAGGGGCAGCAGCACCGACTGTGTGCCTCCCCCACCCTCCCTGAGCCTTTCCTCCTGCTAAAAGCTCACTGCTGGCTGAAATGGGCAGAGTCCAGATGAAGTGAGCCCAGAACAGTAAATTTCAACCTGCATTAAACATGAGCAATGAGCAACAAAGCCCAGCACTGGTGGCTCACACCTGTAATCCTAGCTTACTCAGGAGGCTGAGAGCTGAGGTTTAAAGCCAGCATGGGCAGGAAAGTCTGTGAGACTCTTATTTCCAATTAACCACCAAAAACAAAACAACACTCTGGAAGTAGAGCTGTGGCTCGACGTGTTAGAATATTAGCCTTGAGCAAAAAAGCTCAGGGACAGTGCCCAAGCCCAGAGTTCAAGCCCCTGAACCAGCAAAAAGAAAACAGAACAAACCCACAGAAGCCCAGCACTGGTGGCTTGTGTCTCTAAGCCTAGCTACTCAGGAGGCTGAGATCTGAGAATCACAGTTTGTAACCAGCCTGAGAAGTCTGAGACTTCTATCACTGATTAACCGATAAAAGCCGGAAGTGCAGATGTGGGTGGACTGGCAGAGTGCCAGCCTCTGTGAGCTAGAAGCACCTGGTAGGAGGCAGGTATTCCCACTTGGCTGCTTTATCACGCCAATGCATGAATGAATGAGTGAGTGAATGAATGCATCATCCATTGCTGAGAGAATCTGAAGAGTCACCTGATCTACACAGAACAAGGAGAGCACTGTGGGCTCTACTAGGTAGCCTGGCTACCTACAGCTCAGCTGCCTGCGTTGGAGTTCTGCTCCTCCTGGCCCCCAGATGTGTGACCTTGACTGTCTCTAAGGTGCACAATTGAAAGGGAGATGAGAATAGAATCGGCCTCATGGAGTGGTCCGGGAGGATTATATGAGATGAATGATGGAGTCAGGTGCCTAAAATAGCTCTTGCCTGACAGGCTTGTTATGCGAGTTGAAGGACGGCATCTGGCAAAACATCCGGATAAAAAGTGTTCGATAAACACTTTCGCTTCTTGTCCATATGCCCATCCCGACTGTCCTCTGCAGATCCAACAGCAGCACGTCGAAAGCAGAGACCCCCAAAACACCCAGCAGCCCGTTGACTCCCACGTTTGCCCCTTCGGTCTGCCTCCTGGCCCCCTGCTATCTCACAGGGGACTCTGTCCGGGATAAGTGTGTGGAGATGTTGGCTGCAGCCCTGAAGGCGGAAGGTGAGAGGTGGGGCCGGGGGAGGTGGCTGTGGGGCTCTGGCCGTGGTACCGCCCAAGCGGGCATCACTGGCAAGGTCATGCCCGGCTGACGCCTGTGACTTCCCAATCTCTTTCAGATGATTACAAGGACTATGGAGCCAACTGTGACAAGTTGGCATCCGACATCGAAGATCATATCCTCGAGCCGTGCCGTGGCTGTGGGCACCTGGGAGGAGGGTTCTGGGGACCGTCCTGGTTCTGCCTGTGAGCTTTTGACGCCAGCTGACATTACAGTTAAGCCTGGGGCCAAAGCTCCTCAGTGGGTGCTGACAGCAGCCCCACCAAGGAGACTTCTGGATCCGCCTGGTTGCAGCCCAGGCCTCCAAGTCTCAGGGAGATTGTTATGACACCGGCCAGGGCCCATACAACTACGAGTAATCTAGCGGGGTGCCATCCATGCCCAGTGATGTCACCTCCGGAGCAGAGGACGGAGTGCCTCACGCTCAGCAGGTCCCCTCTTCCTTTGACTGATGGTCCCAGCTCCCCAGTTCAACTCCTAGATCTGTACCAGGCAGGTGCTGTGCTAGGAGGCCAAGGCTTCCTTCCCACCTCTGTTAATGCTCCTAACACTCTCTCTGAGCCAGGGCCTGTTGTTCCCTTTGTCCAGATGAGGAAAGCTGAGGCTCAGAAACTCTTGGATAGGTATCACTACTGGATTGAAAGCCTTGGGGTTTTGTTTTATTTTGTTTTTTGTTTGGTTGGTCATGGGGCTTGAACTCATGGTTTGGCTGCTGTCCCTGAGCTTCTGTGCTCAAGGCTGATGCTCTACCAGTTGGAACCGCAACTGCACTTCTGGTTTTGGTGTGGTTCTGCCTGGGCTGGGTTTGAACCGTGATCCTCAGATCTCACCTCCTGAGTAAGCTAGGATTACAGGCGTGAGCCGTGGACATGGGCTGAGGCCTGGTTTTTATTCTAATACTGAATTGTATCCCTCCTCTCCCACTTCTGTCTGAGAGGGCCTGGCAGAGCCAGGAAAGATGACTACCATGTTGATGGGAACCCCTGATCCAAAAGATTTGGGACTTCGGGGAGGGGAGATGTCTCTGTCCACTTTTCCCCCACTGAAAGATGGATTCATGGACTGTTACTAGAGACAAAGAAATGGGCAGAACTCCCTGGGGAGAGAGGGAGGGAAGGAGAGAGGGAGAGAGAGAGAGAGAGAGAGAATGCCAGTCTGAGTGATCCTTTCTGCCCCTGCTGGGCTCTACCCTGGGAGGCTTGCTGCGTTTGCAGGGGAGGTCTAGAAAACCATCTGCAGAGAACTTGCCTGCTTCCATCTCCTTCCTGAAGCCAACCCCTAGCCACCCCCCCACCCCACCCACTTTCCGCCAGTTTCCCTCTATCATCATTAAGTGATTAGCCAGGAACCCAGCCCAACAAGGTTTTGTTTGTTTGTTTTTCCTTTTGTGCCAGTTCTAGGGCTTGAACTGAGGTTCTGGGTTCTATCCCGTACCTTTTTGGCTCAAGGCTGGTGCTCTATCATTGGAGCCACAGCTCTATCTACTTTGGGCTTTTTATAGTAGTTAATTGGCGATAAGAGTCACACACCTTCTTGGCTTCAAACTTTGATCCACAGATCTCAGTAGTTAGGATTATCTGCACCCAGTTTATAAGTTTTTTGTTTGTTTGACTTGTTTTGTTTTGTCAGTTGTGGGGCTTGAACTCTGGGCCTGGGCACTTTCCCTCAGCTATTGAGCTCAAGGCAAGCGCTCTACCACTTGAGTCACAGCGCCACTTCCGGTTTTCTGATGGTTAATTGGAGATAAGAGTCTTATGGACTTTCCTGCCCAGGCTGGCTTTGAACCAGGATCCTCAGATCTCAGCTTCCTAAGTAGCTAGGATTACAGGCATGAGCCACTGGTACCCAGCTTAAAACAAGTTTTGATTTACCCAATATTAAATATGTTTCCTGCTAATTCGGGAATGCTGGGCCTTAGGTTTCAGGACTTCATTTTCTCCCAAACAGTCATCCCTCCAAGCAGGTTTCTTCCCTCTCCAAATCAGCCTGGTTGGAAGTTCAGGATGGTTTGGTACCTAAATTCCTCCCCTGGCCTGGCTTACTCTACAGGATGTCCAGAAACCACTAAAAAAGGAAAGGGAACGTAAGCTACCACAGGCTCCTGAGCTCTTTGATTATAGCCAAGGGAGAGGACAAAAAAAAAAAAATGGGGCTTGAGTGCTGTGTCTCAAAAAAGGTCTGACCCCTTGAAGCTACCTTGAACTAGGTGTGAGACCTGGATATGTTCTTCTGAAGAGTCTCTCTACCTCCTCCTCCACCTGAGGTCTTGGGAAATGCAGGCATCAGAGGCTGATAAAACTATGGCCAGCTGTGACACCTGTGGCTCACGCCTGTAATCCTAGCTACTCGGGAGGCTGAGATCTGAGGATTGCAATTCAAAGCCAGCCCAGGCAGGAAAGTCCTTGAAACTCTTATCTCTAGTGAACCACTAGAAAGCTGGAAGTGGTGCTGTTGCTCAAATGGTAAATGGTAGAGTACTAGCCTTGAGCACAAGAGCTCAGGAACAGTGCCCAGACCCTGAGTTCAAGCCCCAGGACTGGCACCAGCTTGACTGTCCTCGGCAGATCCACGCTCTAGAAATCCTGAATGGAAGTATTTCAACCCAGATTTTGGCTCCCAGATGCATTGTAGCATATTCTTTGCTTTTCACACTTTTATTGTACTGTCTGTACATGAAAGCAATAGGAAAAAAAAGGGGGGGAGCCTCCTTTCCTCCTACCACTTCTCGCCAGTCAGCTGTTTCCAGCTAGCACATCACCCGCCCTGCAGTGTCTTTCTTGCATATGGTTTTTCCCAGCAACGGCTTTGTCTTCCTGCCTCTGCTTGGCTCAGGAGACCAAGAAAAGGAGGCTGTTTTTCCAGAGCCCCTGCAGAGAGGGTGGGAGAGGCCCTGTCTGGGATAGAGGGTTTGGACAGCAATGCACTGTGGTCAGTGGCCAGAGTGAGTCGCGGGGGGAGGGGCTGTTAAGTGGGGGCCTGGCTCCCAGCCCTGTCTTGCTGGGAATTTTCTCTGTGACCTTGAATGTAGGCTTGCCCCCCACCCCCTTTCCAAGCCTCAGCTTCCTCATCTACTCATGGGAGGTGGAGTAACTGACGGGCCATTCCCACAGTGCTTAAGTGGGCTGCTGTTGGGTATTATGAAGGAAAGACGTAAGGACGTCTGTGATCTCAAGTATGCGGGGGTCGCCCCAGCTCTGTGATTTCTCCAGGCTGCGAAGAATGTGGTTCTTCATCTTTTCCTCTTGACAGCTTCCAGGGACCTTTCCAAATGAATGGTTATCCATTGTCATTTGGTAACATGGAGCATTTGGTAGTCCCACACATTGGTGCTTCGTGCAGCTCAGCTGGGTGACTTCCCACCAGCCCTAAGGCTCAGACACCCCATTGTCCCCATTATCCACTCACCACAGTGCTTGCTATAATCTCATCTCCCCGTACAGGTAGTTTCCTGTGTCTCCTCATTGGCTTACCCCCAAATGCCCAACTGATGCCCCAACTAGGTAGACAGAGACCACAGGAGTGTGGCTGGCCACTATAAAGATCCATGGACAGGCCAGGTGCCAGTGGCTCACGCCTCTAATCCTAGCTACTCAGGAGGCTGAGATCTGAGGATCATGGTTCAAAGCCAACTCAGGGCAGAAAAGTCCCTGTGAGACTCTTATCTCCAATAAACTACTAACACAAAAAAGCCAGAAGTGGAGGTGTGGCTCAAGTGGTAGAGCACTAGCCATGAGCATTAAGAGGCTCAGGGACAGCATCCAGGCTCTGAGTTCAAGTCCAAGGGCTGGCAAAATAAATAAATAATAAAAGATCCACAGACAGGAGAAGAGGGCCCTGGCATCTCTCAGACTCTGTCTCTTCCCGCCTCACTCCCACAAGTGGTGGCTTGGTCCTTGACTCTGTCACATATCTACCAGGAGCTCAAGAGCACCGACATGAAGTACCGGAACAGAGTTCGCAGCCGCATCAGCAATCTCAAGGACCCCAGGAACCCGGGCCTGCGGCGGAATGTGCTCAGCGGGGCCATTTCTGCTGGACTCATCGCCAAGATGACCGCAGAGGTGAGGGGGGGGGCCCAGGTGGGCCTGGCCCTTCCAGCTCTGTCCAGCTGTGAAAGGCAGAGGCTGTGACTCTCCCTCCCTATTAGGTTTCTAGGCCACTGGAGTAGGGAACACAGCTCATATGTTTTAAGTGCTGTGCTGAGTACTTCACGTGTGTGGGCCAGTTTTATCTTCACACCAACTGACATAGGCATGCTTATTATCCCCACTTTATAGGTGAGTGAACTAATGGGGTAGAAAGTCTCCAAGCCAGGAAGCCTCAGCCTAGCCCCCAGGCTGCCCTTGCTTGCTTTATCATCTGCCTCTCTCCCTCCTCTCTTGCTCAATCCTGTGTGTCCTGATTCCTGGCTCTGCCCAAGCTAGGATTGAATCCAAGGTAAGGGAGCCAGACAGATTCACACATACAGATACCACCAGTAGCAAATGCTGGCGCAGAGCCACACGGGGACTTACAAGAGGGAAGGCTTAGCCTAGCTTGGAGAGGTCAGTAAGAAAGGAAGAGCAACCAAGGGTCAGTGACTCACTAGTTACCCCAGAGGCTGAGATCTGAGAATTGTGGTTCAAAGTCAGCCTATGCAACAAAGTCCATGAGACTCTTTATCTCCAAAACTGTCCCAATAAGCCAGAAATGGAGGTGTAGTTCTAGTGGTAGAACACTAGCTTTGAGCAAAAAAGCTGAGGACAGTGCCCAAGCCCTCAGTTTAAGCCCCAGGACTGGCAATTTCCCTCCCCCCCAAAAAAAAGAAACATATTTGCAGAAGAAGAGTGCAGTAGTTACAAGCCTGGCAGTGTCCCGGTGCCAGTGGCTCACGCCTGTAATCCTAACTACTCAGGAGGTCTGAGCTAGGAGGATCACAGTTCAAAGCCAGCCTGATCAGAAAAGTCCCTGTGAGACTCTTATCTCCAATAAACTACTTTTTTTTGGGGGGGGGTGTCCGTCATAGGGCTTGAACTCTGGGCTTGGGCGCTGTCCTTGCTCTTCAGCTCAAGGTGAGTGCTCTACCGCTTGAGCCACAGCGCCACCTCCAGTTTTCTAGTGGTTTTATTGGAGATAAGAGTCTCACGGACTTTCCTGCCCGGGCTAGCTTTGAACTGTGATCCTTAGATCCCAGCCTCCAGAGTAGCTAGGATTACAGGCGTGAGCCACGGATGCCTGGTCCAATAAACTTCTTAAAAAGGACAAGTGGTGCTGTGGCTCAAGTAGTAGAGTGCTAACCTTGAGCACAAAGAGGCTCAGGGACAGCGCCCAGGCTCTGAGTTCAAACCCCAGGACTGGCAAAGAAAAAAAGCCTGACAGTGGGGTCAACTGGCTTGCTAATTCAACTGCTGCCACTTCGCTACTTTTGCTGTTCAAGGCTGGCACTCTTACTATTTGAGTCATACCCTATCATCTCAAAAAGGCACTTCTAGCATTTTGGTGGTTAACTGCAGGTTAGAGTCCAGCTGGCTTTCAGCTACTCCAGTAGCTAGGATTACAGGCATGAACCACTGGTGCCTGGCTGCCATGTTCTTAGGAAGCGGGAATGTGAGCATGCAGGGTCAGCATTGGTCTGCTTGTTACCTCTGTGCAATGGGGCTTAGGGATTCGGGATGGACCGTGGCATTGAATATGTCTAGTCAGTGCCAGATCTTCACTGTTCCATGACCCACAACCCAACCTCCTTCCCCAACACCCACCCTCAATTGACAGAGCATCTAGTCTGAGCATCTCCTTTCTTGGCTATTCTCTGGGCAGGGTTGAGGGGAGATGACTCAGGTTCTGTACTACAGTAGGAGATAGGAGGCTGGTTTTGCATGATCACAGTGAACTTGAGCTGTGTGAGTGTGGGATTGGAGGGTAGCTTGGCCAGTCTTGGATATTTGAGCCTTCAAGGTGCCCACAAGGCAGCAGGCTGTGCAGTGATCAGAGCTGGAGCAGGTGCTGGGTCAAGTCCAGATCAGAAGGGTGAAAGGACATATGAGTCAGGTGTGTAGAGGTCACTGGCTCCCATGGGAGGGTTCAGTTCATGCCAAGGTCCCAGTGTGGGAAGGAATGATGCCAAGCGCTAATCCCAGGGTACATGCTGCTTGTCTGACAATCCCCTGGCTGTACCCAGCCGGCTTTGGCCCAGCCAGAGCCTTGTCTAGGTTTGACCTTCCAGAGAGAGTAGTGGGGATTCTGAGTACCACCTTTCCCATCGGGGCAGGACCAGGTCTCCTTGGGCTAATGTTCCCAGCACGTTCCCTCTTCCTGTGTTTCGGCTCCCCAGCCCTGAGGGGCAGACTCATTTTTCTCTAGGAAATGGCCAGTGATGAGCTGAGGGAGCTGAGGAATGCCATGACCCAGGAGGCCATCCGTGAGCATCAGATGGCCAAGACGGGCGGCACCACCACGGACCTGTTCCAGTGCAGCAAGTGCAAGAAGAAGAATTGCACCTATAATCAAGTAAGGGGGTGCTGGGCTGGGGAGACCCACAGAGGCAGACAGCCAAAGAGGGGCGTAGGAGGAGCCCAGGGACTAGGAGAAAAGGGGGAAAATGTGTCAGGCCTACAAAGCAAAGAGCAAGCCTCGGGATACCGCCCTGAAGCCTTGTGGCTTCTAGAAAATGTTCTGAGTGCCGGGCGCTGGTGGCTCACGCCTGTAATCCTAGCTACTCAGGAGGCTGAGATCTGAGGATCGCGGTTCAAAGCCAGCCCGGGCAGGAGAGACCGTGAGACTCCTATCTCCAATAAACCACCAGAAAACCGGAAGTGGCGCTGTAGCTCAAGTGGTAGAGCACTGGCCTTGAGCTGAAGAGCTGAGGGACAGCGCCCAGGCCCAGAGTTCAAGCCCCACGGCCGACCAAAAAAAAAAAAAAAAAAAAGAATATGTCTGAGTAGAGAAGCCGCCAGCTCTGTGTTCGTGAGGCTGGGCCAGCGTGTGCAGCTGGCTCCGCGACCAGGCTGAGAGCCACGCTCAAGCTGTCATGCTGTCTTCCCACGCACTGCTGGCTTCAGAGCCACAAAGGTAACTGAGGCCAAGATGGGACAGCTTTTTCCAAGGTGGCAAGGCAGATCCATGGCAGGCGAAGCAAATTGTGGATCTAAACCTTCCTGCTGCAGTCCAGCGGGCTTGGCCAACAAAGCCTCATGGGTTTAGCCTTGAGTCGGGAGGGGAAGACCTTTGGCCTGGCAGGAGAGTCCCACAAGGGTGTTGGGCCTCTTCTTGGAGTATTAATATTCTTGGGTTCTAAGTAGTGTCTACTTATTCTAGAACCCTCTTCATTCTTTTGTTCCTGACCAAGCAAGATTTGTCAAGAGCACCTTGCCCTCAGAGTCCTATGGCCATAGTAGAAATGTGCAACCAGCCTTGCTGATCTGGAAGGTTCTCAGGGAGGATCCTGATTCAAGAACTCAGGGCACCAGTGGCTCACAACTATCATCAGGCAGAAAAGTCCCTGTGAGACTCTTATCTCCAATTTACCAATCAAAAACTGAAAGTGGCACCATGGCTGAAGTGGTAGAGCGCTAGCCTTAAGCACAAAGAGAATGAGACAGTGCCCAGGCCCTGAGTTTAAACCCCATGACTGACAAAAAAGAAAACACAAAACTTAGAGATGTCGCAACTCTCACCTTCCTGAGCACGTTTCCATGCGGTGTGATGCACTTCCGTGTAACGCTGCCCTCCAGATGTAAAAAGCCCATTAGCCACAGTTCTCCTGCCTCCCCCTCCCCCTCCCAACCCCACTGGTGTTCCTTCTCAGAGCCAGTGCTATCCAGTGACAAGGCTGTGTTGCACAGTGTCCTGGCAGACTGCTGGGCATGGACACCAGCCAGGGGGCCCTGCCCACTAAGATCACTCAGAGCTGATTGCCAATATCATTCATAGCTCATTTCATTCAGAGTTGACTGTCAATAGAGCAATGATGTGTTTTCTTGTGATGGCCAACCAGAGTTGACTGTCCAAAACCAGAAGGGCAGCTGTTATACCCAGAACACCAGGACTTGACAATGAGACCCAAGCTTCTGTACCTGAATGAACTGGAGGATGACAGCCTAGGAGCATAACATAAATTATCCCAGTGATCGATGAGTTCCCCTTTTTCTTCTGGGCCTCTGTCCTTCCACCTGTGAAGCAAGGAGGAGGGTGACTTTAGCTTTCTCCAGTTCTGACAGTAAGGCAGTGTCTGGTACCGTGTGTTCAGGGACAGCTCCTTGGAGGAGGTGAGGCTTAGAGCAAAAAATAATAGAAGAGAGACCAACTGAGAAAAATCCTCCAGAGTGCAAGTGCAAAGGCCAGGTACTGCCTGAGTTACCGGGCGTGACCAACAGTCAGGCAAGCATGCATCAGGAAGAACTCAGATGAAGAGAATTACTGAATCAGGATGGGAAGATCGGCGCCACCCTCTGAGATTTGGACTTATTCCTAATGAAGTGACTTACTCCTGGAGCTGGGAGGGGCCTCACGAGTGGTTCTTCTCTCTCAGGTGCAGACACGCAGTGCTGACGAGCCCATGACCACCTTTGTCTTATGCAATGAGTGCGGGAATCGCTGGAAGGTCTGTATGTCTGTGTCATCCACAGATCCAGCCCTGCCTCCCTAGTATACTCCCAGCCTGCACAGAGTAGGCCTGCAGAGCCAGTGGCTGGTGGCTGATGGGAGGCAGGGAGAAAAGGCATGTGTCTGTTCGTGTTGGAGGGGCACCTGCTGGGGTGGGGGCTGTGGATCACAGGACGGGCAAGGTGGATGGAATCAGCTTCCTGTGATCCACAGAGGAATCAGGGAGAAAAACCAACCACAGCACTGTGCCTTTGGACCCCACGCCTCTTTTGGAGTGCTTTTGCCGATAGAATTTCCCTGGAACCTGGTCACCTAGCCAGAGTAGAAGACAGGGAAGCTGAGCCCTGGTGGGGGAGAGTGGCCCCAAGCATTCCCAGGGGACCTCTCCTCTTCTGGAAGCTCTGGCACAGACTTCTGTGATGCAACTCCCTCCCACAGAGGCAGAGGTTCGGTGTTCAAACATGGGAGCCTGCGTCTGGCGCCATCTGACTGGCTCCCATGTAGGTGATATCTGGCGTAGCAGGCAGGCCTCAGGGCTCCACAGAGCCAAGGTCCTGTGTGAAGAGCCCGAGAAGAGCCTGGTACTAGGAATCTGGCCTCTGCTTCAGGTCACTATGTGCCCCTCCCAGCATGGCCCCTCTTTCTTGGGCCGTGTGAGGACCATCTGGAGGTGAGGATCAGTGCGTATGTGCACACACTTTGCGAAGAACCAGGACAGTTCCTAATTTATGATAGTATTCTCGTCTCAAATGAGGAATTAATTAATTCACACAGTGAATTAACAAACCAAAAACTCAGTACCCACCCTGGAGCTCAGAAAAATAATGCCAGTTACTTTTCTGACAAAGGGACTCCATAGCCCTTCTTTAAGGCCTCTTTAGAAGCTGAAAGGGACACCACCTCAAGGCGAATGTGAGGTTACATGAGATAAACATTAGTCCTGGGCGCCTGTGGCTCACCCCTGTAACCCTAGCTACTCAGGAAGCTGAGATCTGAGGATCATGGTTCAAAGCCAGCCCAGGCAGGAAAGTCTGTGAGACTCTTTTCTCCAATAAAGCACTAGAAAACAGAAAGTTGCGCTATGACTCAGGTGGTAGAGCGTTAGCCTTGAGCTGAAAAGCTGAGGGACAATGCCTGGACCCAGAGTTCAAGTCCCATGACCAACCAAAAACAAAACAGTACTGCCTAGCACAGTGAGTGCCCAGTGATTGTCCCTGTGAGCCCTGCTCCTCTTCTTTGAGTCCTATTAGTTGGATAGAGGGCGTGTTGGAAGTATGAGCTACGTGTTTTCTGACCTGAATTCTGAGTGTGTTTTTTGTGTGTGTGTGTGTGCCAGTACAGGGGCTTAAACTTAGGGCTTAAACTTAGGCTTAAACTTGGGTGCTATTCTTTAGATTTTTTTCTTCTAAGGTTAGTGCTCTACCACTTGAACCACAGTTCCACTTCTGGCTTTTCCTTTTCTTTTCCTTTCTTTCGTTCTTTATTTTTTTCTTTTTTTTTATTTTTATGTTTTTGCTGTTTAGTTGGAGATAAGAGTCTCTCAAACTTTCCTGCTGGGGCTGACTTTAAACCATCATCTTTCAAGCACAGCCTCCTGAGTAGCTAGGATTACAGGCATGAGTCACCTGTGCTTGACTAACCAAGTGCTTTGTATGATCACACTGACATGGAGAGCCCAGAAAGTGCCTGAGATTGATTTGCCATTCATTTATTATCTAACACCACCCTCCAGTGGACTGTAATCCCATTTTACAGATGTGATTGGCACAAGGTCGAACATCTAGGCTGAGCTAGGACTGACTGTTGCCACGTAGCCGGGGAAAAGCTCTCAACCTGTTGTCTTTTCTGCTTTTGTAGTTCTGCTGATAGACCCACCCTTGAGATGGCAGCGAACAAGGCAAAAAGGAATGTGAAGCAGCAAGTGCCAATCCACCTGACCTGGAAAAACCAAAACAAAAATACTGAAGAAAAATACTGACCTCTGGATGCAGCCGTAGGGAATCAGGGGAAATTCTTTTGCACAATCATTAATAATGGCCTGCTAACAACCATGTGCAGTTATGAATCAGTGCTGACCCTCTTATAGAAAGTCAGAGTAAACCCCTCTGTACAGTATTTTCACAATAAAAACAAAAAGTCAGAGAATCAGAGCTGGGGGGATTCTACCTGGGACAATGATCCAGAACACCTGTGTGTCAGTCCCTCCCTCCGACCTGAGTCTCTCTCAGCCTGTTCTGGCTTGAAAAATACTAAATCAGAGATGACAGTCTAGCTCAGTGTGCTTGGCTTAAAACAACAACAACAAAAACAAACACAAAAACCCTAGTTGTTGGTGTTCATGCTTATATCAGGGAGCTGAGGACTGGGGTTTGAAGGGCAGGGAAGGGAAGTCCAAGAGTTGGCTATCTCCAATAACTATCAGAAAACTAGAAGTGGGACTGTGGCTCACATTGATTTCTTTTTTTTTTTTTTGCTGGTTGTGGGGGCCTGAACTCTGGGCCTGGGCGCTGTCCCCAAGCTCTTCAGCTGTACACCAGCGCTCTACCACTTGAGCCTCAGCCCCACTGCTGGCTTTTTATACTTATGTGGTGCTGAGGAATCGAACCCAGGGCTTCATGCAAGCAAGGCAAGCACTCTACCACTGAGCCACCTTTCCAGTGCCTGTGGCTCACATTGGTAGGGCACTAGACTTGAGAAAAAACTGAGGGACAAAAAACCAAAAACTGAGGGACAGCACCCAGGTCCTGAGTTCAATCCCCACAATATATATCTTCCCCCCACCCAGAGCTGTACTTGCAGAAGAACAGAAGATCTGATCCACAGCCTGGCTGGGGTGGGGAACATCCAGTCCCATGGGCTGTGTGAGGCCCTTGCAGTCATTCAGCACATGACAGGATGGACGCATAATGCTTCTCATCAACTCCGATCTGCCTGTGTTGATAATGTTATGTGGCCCTGGTTATAACAAATGGCAGAAAAAAGCTTCCCCAGCCCTGGTAAAGCAGGGAGGTAAGGTTTCTACAGCAGGTGGAAATATCTCTTCCCAACTCTTTCCTGGTCTTTTTTCAAGTGTTCAGTGATTTCCTTTTGACTGCTAGCTACGGGGCTTGGAGGACGCAGTTACTCTAGAGCACAGGCTCAGTGCAAAGACGCTAGCAGAGCCTTCCTTCACTTCCATCTCTTGGGGGCCCTGAGCCACAGAACCTGTCCAAACCCAAGCATCGTGTTCCTCACTGCTCCATCTGTGGCCTGAGCCTAAGAGGATGTCTGCGGACCACAGGAATCTTCTATGCTTCTCCCATGATGACAACTTGTTCTCTATGCTCTTAAGACTTTAGACCAAGCTGGAAGCTTCTGGAAAGCTTCAGGAACACTGTTCTGATAGCCCCAGATGGAGCCTCCTGGACTATGTTTTCTCGAATGGCTGGAGATCGGGAGCATAGGAAGGCCTGAGAGCTTGGGCAAGTCACCTAACTGCTCTGAGCCATCTTGTCTGTGGAAGAGTACTATCACTGCCTCCTCGGGCACTGCGGCAGCCTATGGATTCCCCTCTGCCTTACCTCAGGGAACACTGCTGGGGAAGGATGCCAGGCACCTCCCCTTCCCTGGGTACACCCTCTCTGGAATTGGTTACACTGTCTCCCTTCATCATCATGTGCTTCCTCCTGAAGAGGACATCTGCAAACAGACTGGGTACAGGAATCTGCTGTATGTTCAGCTTTTAGACCTTTTTGAAGGAAGTGAAGGTATGCCTCAACTGGTAGAGCACCAGCTATGAGCAGGGAAAAAGCCAAGCAAGAATGCAAGGCCCTGAGTTCAAGCCCCCAGGACCAGCAAAAATAAGAGTTGGAGGAGTCCCAGGGAAAGGCTGGAGAATCTGACTGAAGGTACAACACCCACAGCTCTCCAAGGCAGAACAGGATGGAGACCCAGGCTCATGCTCTCTGTTACAGTGCTCAACACTGGCAGAATCCCAAGCTGTACAGACTCAGCCCCTCCCCATTCCAGGAACCCTCAGCCTGGCAGGGAAAGAATCTGGAGGCAGAGACTTTCCACCACAGATGGCCATGTTGCACACCTCATCTGAGGTACAAACATCACCCACAGAAGTGAAAAGGGGTGCTGCCTAGAAACCCAGGGGATCTTTAGATCTTACCGAGATTCTTCTTTCCTAACAAGCTCCCTCCCAGTGATGGCAATGCGTCTAGGTCACAGGCTACACTCTGATAAGAAGGGCTTGGATGTCTAGATTTTTCTCTGTATTACCTAATCAGCCACTGAAAGGTTTGGAAACCAAAGGCTGAACAAGAGCAACCACTGTCAATCTCCTAGTGTCAGGAAAGGGTACTTTGTGGGGCATTTTGGAAAGGTGGCACCCTGCAGTGATTCTCAGCAGTCAGGGTCTACCTCTCCCTTGGGTTCCCGAAGTCATGGGGATTTGGAACCCAGGGGAATAAACAAGGGAAATCTCCCAGGTAACCTTGCTGTTTACAAAGAAGATGAGTCAGATTGAACAGTAAAAGACACGTTGGCGCAAGTGCTCACATCTTTACCATACACATCTACACAGAAAAGTATGAATAGGCCTCAGGCTGTGTCATCAGCAGGCGCCCACACCTCTGCGTCCACTCTGGAGCCACTCAATTCATGCCTGTCTGAGAGGGACTGGAATCATTCAGCTTTTCTGATTGAGTCCCCCTTCCCATTCCGCCACCCCCATTTGAAAGCTGCCATTTGTCCCACTGCTCTTGGCAAGAGCCTTGGAGAGTCTGCAGAGCTGGCCTTGGCTTCACCCCCCCCCCAGCCCCCATCCCTGCCCCACTTGCTGCTCAGGCCACCCTAGCCTAACAGTTTGTGGAGGCTGTGGCTGTGGGCCAGAACATGTGGCTTAGCCCCATCTCTTTCATCTCAACAATGGGCAAGTGAGTTCGTGTGAACTTCCATCACCCAGGAAGACTTCCTGGGAAAGAAAAGCGTAAGATTCGTGAGGTGATATACAAAGGTGAAATGCATGGGGTGGATACAGATATTCTCGCTGAAACCTTGAAAACAAAAGTCGGTTCATCTGGGCGCTGGTGGCTCACGCCTGTAATCCCAGCTACTGAGGAGGCTGAGATCTGAGGATCATGTTTCAAAGCCAGCCCAGGTAGGAAAGTCTGTGAGACTCTTATCTCCAATAACCCACTAGAAAACTGGAAGTGGTACTGTGAGTCAAGTGGTAGAGAGCTTGCCTTGAGCTGAAGAACTGAGGGACAGTGCCCAGGCCCAGAGTTCAAGCCCCACGACTGACAAAAAAAAAAAAAATCCCATGATTAAAATGGATTTATAAGCCAAGTTTAGTAGCTTACCCTGTAATCCTAGCTACTCAGGAGGCTGAGATATGCAAATCCTGGTTCAAAGCCAGCCCCAGCCAGGTGCTGGTGGCTCACACCTGTAATCCTAGCTACTCAGGAGGCTGAGATCTGAGGATTGTAGTTCAAAGCCAACCCAGTCAGTGGGAAAGTCTGTAAGACTTTTTTTTTTTTTTTGGTCCATCATGGGGCTTGAACTCCGGGCTTGGGTGCTATCCCTGTGCTCTTCAGCTCAAGGCAAGTGCTCTACCGCTTGAGACACAGCGCCACTTCCGGTTTTCTAGCAGTTTACTGGAGATAAAGTCTCACGGACTTTCCTACCTGGGCTGGCTTTGAACCATGATCCTCAGATCTCAGACTCCTGAGTAGCTAGGATTACAGGCGTGAGCCACTGGCACCGGCTCTATAAGACTCTTATCTCCAATTAACCACCAGAAAACTAGAAGTGGTGCCGTGGCTCAACTGTAAGAGCACTCACCTTGAGCTGAAATACTGAGGGACAGTGCCCAGGCCGAGAGTTCAAGCCCCATGACTGAGGGGGAAAAAAATAAAGCCCTAGTAGGAAGTCTATGAAACCCTAATCTTCAATTAACCACCAAAAAGCTTGAAGTAGCACCAGACTTGAGCAAAATAGCTCAGGGATAGCACCCAGGCCATGAGTTCAAGCCGCACTACCAGCACAAAAACAATAACAACAAGATGGCATTTACAATATGTTATAGGGGAAAGAAGAAGTAGTACCGGAGCAAGGCTCTAGTGATGAATGCCTGTCATCCTCGTTACCTGGTAACTTGAGAACAGAAGGATCATGGTTGGAGACCAGCCTGGGCAGAAAAGTTTCCAAGACTTCTTTCTCAACCCATAGCTAGGTGCAGTGGTTGCATGCCTATCATCCCAAACTATGTTGGAGGTCGGGATTGGGAGGGGAGGGTGGTGGTAACAGGCCAGCCTGGGCAGAAAAAGCCCCCAAAATTCCATCTCCATGTAAGAGAAGCTGGATGTAGTGGCATGCGCCTGTGATCCCACAAACAACTGGATGCCTAAGCTGACCACAGCCCAGGCATGTGCCTGCTGGGGGTAAGACCCTATCCCAAAAATAACCAGCGAGAAACAGGGCTGGAGGCATGGCTCAGCAGTAACCAGCTAGCAAGTGCATGGCTATGAGTTCAAGCCTCAGTACAACCATTTTTTTCTTTTAATAATGAGACTACCAGACCTTTGTCTTTTTTTTCTTAATTTTAATTTTTTAGTTGGTTATGGGGCTTGAACTCAGGGTCTGGGTACTGTCCCTGAGTTTGTTGTTGTTTGTTTGTTTGTGTTTTTTGTTTTTGTTCTACCACTTAAGCAACAGCGCCACTTCCAGCTTTTTCTGTGTATATGGTACTGAGGACTTGAACTCAGGGCTTCATGAATGCTAGGCAAGCATTCTACCACTAAGCCCCATTCCCAGCCCTTGTTGTTTTCTTTCCTTCCTCCCTCCCTCCCTTCTTTCCTTCCTCCATCCCTCCCTCTCCTTTTTTTTGGGGGGGGGTCCGGTCGTGGGTCCTGAACTCAGGCCCTGGGCGCTGTCCCTGAGCTTTTTTTGCTCAAGGCTAGCATTCTACCACTTGAGCCACAGCTCTACCTCAGTCTTTCAGTGGTAGAGATGAGAATCTCATGGACTTTCCTTCCTAGCTGCCTTTGAATCATGATCCTTAGATCTCAGCCTTGTGAGTAGCTAGGATTACAAGCACAGGAGGCCTCCCCAGTGCCTGGAAATTTCACCATTTTATCTGTATAATTCAGTACTCTGTTCAACCAATCT